GGCTTCATCTCCAAGTCACAGCGATGCATCATGTTGCATGATAGCAATCCACAAGCTAGATGATCTAATTAATGATGAGGTAATACGGAATGACCCAGAATCCATATTCCATCCCTGGACCCATTTTGCTATATCGTCTCAGAGATTTCTGGGCTCACAGACCCGAGGACTACGGTGACATGATCTACATGCCACGCCATGTCAGATGCTGAGGGATGTTTAAGGAGCACATGACTAGCTCTAAATATTTCCAAGATAGTACCTTGGAGGTTACTGAGTGCACACTGCCGTAGAGAGCCTTAGCACAGACACCTAACCCTACCAGCACCCTAAGTCAGGCTGAAGCCTGCTGGCCATGAAGAGGAAAGGTAGAAGAGGCATTTATTCCCTTTTTAAATACCAGCTCTCTTCTAATGCAGAGACACCATCCTACAAGAGCATATGAGCATGCCGAGCCCAGGCTTTCTTGCTTGTGCTGGCAATGGTGTCCTCAGAGTTGTTAAGAGGAGGGCAGGAGCCAGCAGCTGGTGGTGGGTCCCCACACCACCCTCCTCCTGCCCCTCAGCCCAGGTCTCTCAAACAGCCACCGAGTCGGACGGGACACTGCAAGGGGGGTTCTCCTTACCTTTAGCTCCTGCATGGTGAATTCTTTGCCATGCTCCTTGGCACTGTTTATTATGAAATCCAGAGCATCGCTGTGATCTTCTGGGTTGTTTCTCTGCAGTTTTTCCTGTATAGCTTTCTCCATAAACTCATGTAGCATGTCCCGTGCTTTGATTCCCTGCGGGAGGCAGACACAGTTCAGGAGAGCCTTAGGAACCGCCCCACTCTCCAGAGAGACCAGGGGACCCCAAGTGTGGCAATCCTTAATCCCAGGATCTGTAACAGCAAGAACTGTTTATCTGTTGCCCAGCCCCAAAGCCTTGCAAGAGGCAGCAGTCTGGGGGGAACTGCTGCAAATTCTGTTGCCTTGCTGTTGTGAATCAAATACAACAAGTCCTAAGAAACACTCTGAGAAGACAGCAGTAAACCCACAGCATTGAGTCCGCAGGCATCTGCGCCGAACAAACCCACGGTCACGTCAGGTCCAAAAGAAGCTTGTCCAAAGGGACAAGAAGAAACAACCTAATAAAACTGAGTCCAAGCAGCAAGGCACAACTGAGACAGGAACAAACAAGTGGCTTTACCAGGGTATAGTAGATAAAGACACATTAATCACACCCAGCTCATCTCCAGTTGCGTTGCACTCCTGTGCAGCAAAATATTTAGGCAAGATCTCAGCAAGTCAAGTGATCAGCAATCTCTTTGCAAAGTGAGATGGATGGAGTCACAGAGTGTGTGGCTCTGTATCAAGATGCCTCCTGCAAAAGCCAGCAGGACCAGAGATTTGGGATGAAAAATGGCCATGACCAGATGTTGGGAAGAAGATACAAAGGCTGAGATTTGAGGTGGGAAGGATTGGACAAAGGAAACAGGGCAGGGAGCAAGGGGAAAGACAAGGGGACCTAAATGCAAGTCGAAGAGGCTGGTCTGGGGCCAGACAGGCTGTGGCTGACCTGAGAGAGGGCAGGGAGGGCTAGGATGGGGGGTGAAAGCTCACACTGGTGACAACCTGCAAAGGGAAACTGGACAGGGAAAACGAGCTTTTTTTGAACTGGTGGAGAAGAGCAGCAGGGAGGCTGGGGGCAAACTGGGACTGGCTGGGTAAGGTGATCCGGTGGGGCAGAGCTCACAGTGGAAATAAGAGCTTGGGCAAGACCTGGCTAAAAGGGGCAGGAGACTTGAGCTGTGGTAAGGGTGGAGAACCCAAAGCCAGAGGAGAGAACGCAGACTGAAATGGGAGAGGAGGGGTGGGACACAGGACCGATACCTAGAGCCGGAGTGTGGGGAGGCAGGCAAAGAGGCGCAGGGCAGCAGGAAAGAAACTGCAGGTTGAAAGAGGCAGAGGAGACTGTCCGTCTGCCATGTCCCTCTCCAGGACCCCTCACTGTCTCTCTGCTGCTGGGGGACAAGGGACCAAGGACTATAAAAGGGTCTCAAGTCCTCAGCCTGCCTCAAGGTGCACAGGGAGTGCTAACCTGAGGTGCGCTGTGCCCACCTGCCTGTGTGCTCATGCCCACAGACCCCTCTGCGTGGGCTGACAGGAGTGCAGGTGGGATGAGACGGGACAGGACCAGGCATGATGGACTAACCAGAGCCACAGAGGCAACATTTGGGGTGAGAGAGGAGAGCATCCCTGCACTGTACAACAAGCTGGAGCCAGTGACCAGAGGTGCCGGAAGCCAACCAGGAGCAGGTGAGAAGCACGGAGAGAACGGGAGATGGCTGGGGTGGGCAACACCAGGCCCTCAGACCCGCAACAGGGTGCTGCAGATGTCCTGGCCCGTCGGAAGTGCCCCTTGGCGGGCCTGGGGACAGGGGGTCTGTGCTGCCGGGGCCGGCTGTGCAGCAGGGCAGGCAGCAGTACCTTGCGCAGCCCGCTGAAGGGTATGTTGAGGGGCAGGGAGAAGAGGTTCTCCACCAGCTGTTCAAAAGTTTTGGCCAGGTCCTTGAACTGCTTTTCCTCCAGGCGGAGCCCCAGCAGAATCCGAGCTGCAATGCGGAAAGTTAAGGTTTTAGCGGAGGAATAAACTGCGATGGAGCCTGGCTCCATGCACCAGCCCCGCAGCTCCCAGCTCACAACCTTCTGGATCCGCGGCAGGTAGCTCTCCAGGGCGGCACGGCTGAACACTCTGGCCAGGATCTAGGAGGAGAAGGGGGGGAACAGAGGCAGGTGGTTAAAGTGGCGGGTCCCATGTGCCACCGAGGCCCAAGCCTGGGCAGGAGGTGCCGCCTGGGCTGCGTGTTGGGGTAGCCACGAGGCTCACCTTGCGGCGCTGGCGGTGTAGGTCACCGACGGAGCCCAGCAGGGTGTGGGAGCCCAGGATGATCTGGGTGCTCTGGGGCCACTGGGTGCTGACCAGCGTGTGCTCACCCAGCAGGATCTTGCGGATGTTCTCGGCGCCCGTCACCCGCACCACCGGCCGGCCCAGGAGGTGGGTCTTGAAGACGTTTCCGTACCTCTCCCGCCGGGAGCTGTGGAAGCGGGAGCCCTGGGGACAAGCTGCAGGTCAGCCCGGGGCTCCCGCCCGCCCCCTCCCACCCCGTCCCCC